CACAGGGCGACCAATGCCGTTTCTGTACCATGGCGTGGCCTGAAGCCCGACTGAAATGGATCCAGGGCATCTGTTTCATCCAGGAGCGATTGAAGCTGATCGGCCACCACCCTCTCAACCACCTTGCTTAAGAAAGAAACGTTGGCGACAGGTCTATAATTGCCAATTTCATCCGCCGCCAAGCTAGGTTTCTTCCTAACTAGGTTTCTTCCTAGCTAGGTTTCTAGTTGCACGCAATGAGGGATGTCATGGTGCTGCGGGTTAAACCACTGAAGCCTCTGTGGTCCAAGGTCAGAAGACCTGCAGGCGTAAGATCGAATCCATGCAACGGAGTGAGCCCCCATCGCTTCTTCCAGCTCCTGCCAACCTGTGTGTGTTCAGTCGTTTAGTCGTGTCCGACTCCTCGCGACCCCATGGACCAGAGCACGCCAGGCCCTCCTATCCTCCACCGCCTCCCGGAGTTGTGTCAAATTCATGTTGGTTGCTTCGATGACAACCTAGCCATTTGAAAGCATGCAAAATGCAAAAATGTGAGTACAGTGGACCCTCTACTTACGGAATTAATCCGTATTGGAACGGTGGCTGCAGGTTGAAAAGTCTGTAGGTCGAGGCTCCATTGACCTACAATGCATTGAAAACCGATTAATCTGTTTTTGTTCCATTTTTGTTTCATTTTGGTATTTTTCTGGTCTGTAGGTCGATTCTCTGGCTGCAAGTCAAACCTAAATTTTGCAGCCAGAGAAGTCTGGAACTCGAAAAGTCTGTAAGTCGAGGGTCCGCTGTAGATAAATAGGTACCACCTTGGTGGGAAGGTAAACGGCGTTCCATGTCCAGTCATGCTGGCCATGTGACCACGGAGGATTGTCTGTGGACAAATGCTAGTTCTATGGGTTGGAAATGGAGATGAGCACCACCGCCTAGAGTCGGACACGCAAGTTCCATGCAAAGGTATAGCAGACGGGAATTCCATAATTTCAGCCAGACGAGAAATGGCTCACATTCTGGAATTAATCACCTTGGTCCGTGGGACTAGCCAGAGCCCATAATTCGCAGATTGAGGCCTAAGCCCCTCCAGGTCCTGATGGTAACCCACCATGGTGTGGGACTCATCCAAGATGTGGTCCACCCCCTACGTGTCTGTGGACACCAAAAGTGGCTGGGCCAGATCTGCCTGCCCCATGTCAGCAGTCTGTACCAGCTCAGGATGAGGGCAGTGGTGGGATTCAGCAGGTTCGCACCAGTTCTACAGAACCGGTAGCTAATGTATTATTGGTTCTGCAGAACCGTTTGTTGGCCTGCTAAATCCCACCACTGATCCTGGCCAGTGGTGGGATTCAGCAGGTTCGCACCAGTTCTACAGAACCGGTAGCTAATGTATTATTGGTTCTGCAGAACCGTTTGTTGGCCTGCTAAATCCCACCACTGATCCTGGCCAGTGGTGGGATTCAGCAGGTTCGCACCAGTTCTACAGAACCGGTAGCTAATGTATTATTGGTTCTGCAGAACCGTTTGTTGGCCTGCTAAATCCCACCACTGATCCTGGCCAGTGGTGGGATTCAGCAGGTTCGCACCAGTTCTACAGAACCGGTAGCTAATGTATTATTGGTTCTGCAGAACCGTTTGTTGGCCTGCTAAATCCCACCACTGATCCTGGCCAGTGGTGGGATTCAGCAGGTTCGCACCAGTTCTACAGAACTCCAACCTCACCCTCGGCTACAACATCTACAACAACTATTTCGATGTGCGGGCGACGTATGAAGTGACGGTGGACCTCCTCTCCCGTGGGAAGGCCAACGTTCCCAACTATTCCTGTGGGCAAAGGGAGGATCTCCTTGCCCTCCTTGAAGGCCAGGAATCGGAGATTTCCAAAGAGATTTCCACCCTGTCCAGCCTCTACAAAATCCCACAGGTACTTCGGGAATCCCCTGGTCTATAATTTAGTCCTCTGTTGGTGGGAAATGTGAAGCAGGAGGGGAAATCTAAGCAAAAAAAAAAAAACAACAACAACCAAGGGAAACCTTAAGATTTGGAATGAAATAAAACAATGGCAGGGGGATAAAAAATTTAGAAGAAAATGTAAAACCAATCACAAGCAGTACTTGTGTTAAATATTTTGCAATAACTGTTCCTTTGAAGAGTCTGACGACCCTTGTGAGGTGGTCTTTGGGTGGTGGTAATGTTTGTATGGGGGAGAACCCCTAAAGTGTTCAGGGTTGACATAATAATAATGGCCAGTACTTGACGTTTCAAGGTTCATGAAACCCAGGGCAGGACCGACTCCCTGAGTTCAGCCTCCGTATTGCACCTCATGATTGTGATATATGACAGATTCTCATCTACTTCTCAAGACCTCAGCTGAAAATATAGCTGCGTTTGGGGAACAGCAGAGAAATGAGACACTGACCCTCCAGGAGGGATGGCAGGAGAGATGGGTTTTCACGGCCACTAAGTTCAGTCTCAGACAAGGAAAGGAGTATGACAAGGCTATATATTGTCCCCCAGCTTATATAAATTACCGTATTTTTCACTCCATAAGACGCACCTCTCCATAAGACGCACCAAATTTTTAGGAGAAGAAAATAGGAAAAAATAATCTGTTTTGTTCTCCTAAAAATTGGTAAGCCTTATGGAGAGGTCCATCTTATGGAACACACCCTTAGGATCCTTTGGAGGCTCACGCCTCTCCCCCCGGGGTCAGAGGGGGCAAAATCGCCACCTTCTAGAACTCTTCTGAAGCTTCCCAAGCCTCAAAAGAGCCCCAAAAGGTGGTGATGACGCCCCCTCTGGCCCGGTGGGGGGCAGGGTGAGCCTCCAAAGGGTCCTAGGGTGTGTTCCAGG